TGACTGATACCAAACAGGAGTGAATTGCAGTAATCAAGCCTAGATGTAATGAATGCATGTATTACTGTCTCCAGGTTATTTTTGGACAATATGGGCTTCAGTTTAGACAGCCGCCTCAGTTGGAAGAAACAGGATTTAACAATCATGTTTACATGATTGTTAAGTTTCAGGGATGGGTCCATTATCACGCCCAGATTAGTGACTCTTTGTTTTTCTGACAGGGTTAGAGTGGAGAGGTCGATGCAGTGGTTTGTGATCGTGTCGTTGGGAGGGAACAACATGACTTCAGACTTCTTTTCATTGAAACTTAAGAAATTTAAAGCCATCCAGTCCCTGATGTCAGCCAGGCAGTCGAGCAGCGGTTGAATAGAGCATGTACCATTGTGTCTTAGGGAGAAGTAAATTTGACAGTCATCAGCATAGAAATAAAAGGGTATGTTGTGTTTCCGGAAAATAGCACCAAGTGGCAGCAGGTATAAAGAGAATAGGAGGGGACCCAGGATGGACCCCTGCGGAACCCCCCATTTAAGCTCTGCCGCTGCAGAACTAAAATCCTTGATGGAGACACAAAAGGATCTGTCAGTGAGGTAAGATCTGAACCAATTGAGGGCTGATCCTGTGATGCCCACCCACTGCTCCAACCTAGCAATGAGGATCTCATGGTCAGTGGTGTCAAAGGCGGCTGTGAGGTCCAATAGGACAAGCAGCACAGAATCACCAGTATCTGTGGATATGAAGATGTCATTAAAAACCTTCAGCAAGGCAGTTTCAGTGCTATGGAGAGGTTTAAAGCCAGATTGGAATAGCTCTAAGATGGCGTGACCCTCCAGGAAGCACTTCAACTGGGACTCGACTATTTTCTCGAGTATTTTAGAAACAAATGGGAGTTTGGAGACAGGCCGGATGTTGGACACGACTGAGGGGTCAAGGTTTGGTTTTTTAGGAGAGGCTGGACAGCAGCATGTTTGAAGGATTTTGTCACTATGCCATTGGATAAACTACTGTTTACTATGGCAAGAATGGACAGACATAGAGTAGGAAAAACCTCCTTTAGTAGTCGAGGGGGGACCACATCAAAGGGGGAACCAGAAGCTTTCAAGTTGCACATGACCTTCTCTAGAGAAGATAGAGTGATGGGTTCAAAATGGTCAAATGGAGCTACAGATTGAGGTGGGATGGATGGGTCAAGAGTTGGAGGGGAAATGAGAGCCCGGGTGGTCGCAATTTTTTCCAAAAATAAATGTAGAAAGTTGTTGCACAGCTCAGTCGAAGCTTCCAGAGGTGATGGTTCAGTGAGGTGGAGAACAGAGTTTAGGGTAGAGAAGAGGACACGTGGGTTGTGAGAGTTTGAGGTTATGATATTAGAGAAGTATTTTGATTTAGCAGCTTTTACTGCTTTCTGATAACGGCGCCAACTCTCTTTAAGTATTTGAAAAGAGACCTGCAGCCTGTCTTTCCTCCACTTGCGCTCCGCCCTCCTACATTGCTGCCTAACGGCCTTGGTGACGTCACTCAGCCAAGGTTCTGCTCTGAGTTTTGATTTTAATAGGCGCGATAAAATCCATAGTCTTTAAGCTGACAGAGTTGAACTGGGATATCAGCTCCTCAGTGGTGGTGAGAAACACCGGGGGCTGAATTATCATTTCAGCGTTATAAACATCTGTGAAACGTGTGGCAGTGAAGTGGTTAATGGTCCGGCTGCAACATGCAGGAATGCACGGCTTAGGAGTTAGATGGGGGAGGGTGAACTCAAACTGGACTGGCATGTGGTCTGAAAAACATTATCACCAATTTCAAGATTACTAACAGTCACATCACGTGTTAAAACAAGGTCCAGTGTATGTCCGCGCTCTTGGGTGGGACCGTTTACATGCTGAGTTAGATTAAATGAGTCCAATAAATCTAAAAAGTCCTTAACCAAGGGCTTCTCAGGACAGCACACGTGCAAATTAAGGTCCCCAATAATGAAAACATGATTGGTGTGATTTCAGCCAAGAAGTCAGAAAACTCATTTATGAAATCATTAGATCGAGGTGGGCGGTAAATGAGTGCACATAACGTTGGAGGCAAATGGCCCAGTTCAAAGATGCTTAGTTCAAAGACGCTCAGCTCAAAGCTGGCGCGGGAAACTGGGATGGGCAGTTGTTTACAGTCAAAAGTTGGTTTGAATATTGTTAATAATCCACCACCGCGCCGGCCTGATGGCCGCGGTGTGTTAAAATACAGACAGTTCGGTGGCAATAATTCCATCAAGGCGCTGGACTCACCCGGAGACATCCAAGTCTCTGTGATGCAGAAAAAGTCTAACTCGTACTCTTGAAAGTAGTCCCTGAGGACAAAAGTTTTGTTGGTAACAGATCTTACGTTGACCAAACACATCCGGATACTGTCCAAAGTGGAGCTAGCAGCTGTGAAGTTCGCGCGCATTAGTGGCCGCAGGTTTTCAATAACAGCCCCTCCGGGTCGGTCCGTGCACCGACAACTCCCATTGTTTACCTGGTCCGGGCACGCGGGAAGCTGACGATGGAAACCAAGACCACCACCTGAAGAGGAAGATGCAGCGCGCAGGGCTTTAAGCTTTACCAATCGCCCAGCACGTTTTCCCCGGCGTCTGAAGCGATGTCTCCGGGCAGGGAGGTGAGGAGCGCAGCGGAGGTAAGCTGGTACGTCCGCCAGCAGACGGGGGGTGGGGGGGTGGGGGGGGGATTGGGGGGGTGTCCAGAGGTACGCTCATATTGTTCCAAATAAGCGACATCGGTGGCAGAAAAACGAAGATCCAGAAGCTGTTGTCGGTCATACATCAGCAGTGAGTTTATGTCACAGATAAAAAACTAACAAAACAAAAATAATCCGAGCACCGTTAGCAGAGGTGGATTGCAAGCCATGTACACGGGCGCCATCTTACCGGAAGTTAATAGCTAAAAACGTTCATAACTTTTGACCAAAAAGTCCCTAACAGATTCATCTGAGGTTTATAACAAATACTTACAGTGTACATGCTTGGTACTCATGGCGGGCTGTGCATTTTTCATTTAGGCCTTCAGTGGTCTGCCTGAATTTATCCACCTCTTAATAGCATCATTATGACTTCACAGCTACAGAAACCATCAATAATACACAGAAACATGGAATAATATGGTGGTCACAGACCGGTATCTCATGTAGCAAGAATGAATGCAACTACTGAAACAAGAAACCAATTAACACAATTAAAAAAGTTTCCTTCAACTGCAGCCACAGCTGTACCACATTCTTCAAGATTCAAGATTAAAGGTTCTTTATTGTCATTTGCACCACATGTGCACTTTGCACTTTGCAGTCACTTTGATGGGGACTGTCTATTTATAATTAAATTATTATTATTAATAATAAATATTAATATTAATGATTATTAATATTAACAAAAATACTAATTATTAATAGAATTGATTATTTATATATAGTTATATATAGTATAACATATTAATAATTAATCATCAATATTAATAATATTAATACCAATAATTAGTATTAATTTTAAATATTACTTATTCATCTTAATAATTATTTATATTAAAACAGATAATTATTAACATTAATAATTTATAATTAATATTTATTAATAATATTACTAATTAATAATAATAATAATAATAGGTGATAATAGCTAATAATAGGTGCCTTCCTTGCAGTGCATAATGCACTGCGTTCCATGCACGTTGAACCAAAATGGCTCCATATGTTACTCAGTTTCTGTGAAGAGTTTTCTCCTATTAATTTTCTATGGTAAATTTGGCATATTTGTTAGCAAAATATGTCGCCATGGTAACTGCGAATGCCAATAAAAGTAATTGCACACTTCCCGGAGCCGGGACGATTGTTTAGATGTAACTTTTGTGGGGGTCCACGTTGCGGTTCGGGCCGCATTAAAGTTGAAAAAGATACACTTTTCAGGTGTAGAATAATAAGTGGGCAGTCACCAACTAGTTCCTGGAGTTGGTGAAATATTGCGTCTTTGTTCACAAATTATGTCGGCATGGTAACTCGAAATGCCAATAAAAGTAATAGTACACATCATGGGGCCGAGCCAGTTGTTTTGATACAACTTTTGTTGGGGTAGACATTGTGGTTCGGGCCGCATTAACGGAGATAGAAATGTAGACACTCTTCCGAGGTGTAGAATAATAGGTGAGTCCCCAAAAACAGTAATAAGATCTAAGATATGAACTAAGAAAACATTAACTAAAAAACACACTGAGCACTAATAGCATAAAAGCAATAAACACAATACGCCAAACAGCAGCACGAACATGAGTCTGTGTGAGCAGATGAGCATGCATGAACACAGCAACAGGAAACAGATCAGCAGCAACATGAAACAGATCAGCAGCAACATGATGTGATTTTTCAGTGATTATCCTGGTTAGATATTCATGAGTCTAACAGCCTCAGGGTAGAAGCTGTTCCTCAGTTTAGTGGTTCTGTACTTAATGCTCCTTAACCTCCTGCCTGAGGGGAGCGGGACAAAAAGTATGTGTGCTGGGTGAGTGGGGTCTTTCATGATGCAGGTGGCCCTCTTCCTGCATCTGGAGGTGTAAATGTCTGTGATGGTGGGGAGGCTGACTCCAACTATTATATTGTTACTTTTATTCTACTATACTATATCATATTGTTTTATATTACAATTTCTAGCTTAAGGATAAGGATATATACTGTATAATTGGTTATATCTCAGTTCTTTTATTGTACCATTTGGTGTCTGTTTAGCGTATATCTTAGTGTTTATCTTAGATCCTTATTTATTGTTCTTTTTTTCTTTATATTTTTGGATGTACCTGGGACCCTGTGTACATAATTTTATCCATCTCATGTATCACATGTGTTGGAAACGAAATAAAGTTGACTTGAACTTGAACATACATATTTACCAAATATCACACATATGAAAAGCATCAATAGGGACCTAATAAAATGATAAAACAAAATAATAAATTAAATTAAATGATTTTTACTCACCTAAGTCTTGTCTATACTCAAATTCAATCCTCCTTTCCTCATTAAGAGCTCAGTTCCTCTGTCCTACAGGTCATCATGGCACTTTGGTTTCAACAAGTCCTTTTTCTGTCACCATGGAAGCTAGCACTGAAAGTCAAGTCTGTTTTGTCATGTTTCTGGCATAAATTTTAATTTGCTTTAGGGCTGAGAATGTCCGCATGACATTTAGCTTGTGCAGGTCGCTATAGATGCAGTTTCCTAGTGCCGACCACTCAGTATTCCTTTCTGGGTCGCAGGGACCACTGGTACCCATATCCACCAGTCACTGTGCGAGAGGTGGGGGACACTTTGGACAGGTCGCAAGTCCGTCACAGACATTTCATTATAATATTAATTAATAGAAAACATACTAAAATGTAAGTTAGGAATTCTGATTGTGTTTATGCCAGCAGAGAAGGCTTTGCTGGCCCTGACGGTCCACCACTGCTTGGTATTTAGGGGCACTTGCAGGGTACATACAGGGTACTCACAGGGTAATATACAGAGTACTTACAGGGAATTTTTCAGGGTATTTGCATGGTGATGTACAGAGAATTTATGGGGTACCGCCATTATAAACTGGGTTGACTCCAAATGTAAATCAGTTGTAGATGTACATCCAATGATTATTTTGAGAGGGTTTCATTACAGTTCATGAGACAGTGTTGACTGCAACAGTTAATGACAGAGTTTTAACAAATTATGTCATACAGTGTATAGTACTTAGAGTATGTGCCGGGAATGATTCTCAGCTGCTACCACACCAAAATTGAGCTTAATAACCAATTAAATTGGATGAATTATAGTCATTTAGTGTTTCCATTGATCAATTGGCTTCGGCAACCACCTTAAATTGAGTTGATTCCATTAGTTAATTAAATGTAGATTTATCTGTAATAATTACTTTGAGTGTTTCTTTAAGACCTGTCCAGTGTTTCAAGAAATTTTTTTTTTTACCCTTTATTTATCCAGGTAGTCTCATTGAGCCATGAGAACTCATTTTCAAGAGAGACCTGTTTAGGGAGCAGATGGTGGGAGTTAAGGGCCTTGCTCAGGAGCCCAGAGTGGGGCGAATGAGGGTGGAGGGAGGTGTGGGTGTTTCACCTTTTCCACTCACATTTTAATGTTGACTGTACCGGGAGTTGAACTTGCGACTTTCTGATCACAAGCCTGTCTTCTAACCTCTGCGCCACCACTCCCAGATATTTGGCTGACACTACAGACAGACAAACACATGTATTGATATGGGCTAAAACATTACTGCCCTTTCTCTTTTGGCAGGAGGCAATAAGATACATAACTCTCCATTTTATCCTCCATAAATAAAACTATTTTTTAAATGTTACACTGAGTTCAAAGTTTGCTCAGACGTCTTCATGATTAAGACAATCTCCACTCGTGTTTTCTCCCCAGACGAGGAAGGTCCGGAGGGTTTGACCCAGTTTCTGCTGCTGGAGGTGCGTAAACTGAGGGAGCAGCTCCGAAACAGCCGGCTTTGTGAGCGTCGGCTGTCTCAGCGCTGCCGGATGGCCGAGGAGGAGCGAAGCAGAGCCGAACGAAAAGCTGAGGAGCTATGTCACGACAAGCTGCTGCTTGAGAGGTTCGTCTGTCTGGATGGATTAATTTGGTCTTTTACATCGACGGGAACTGAAGGAAGGTGATCAAGTCAGGCAAGAAATGTTTCTCACACAGATTAGTGAGTTGTGAAAATCACCTCTACAAGAAGGTGGTAATGTTTTCACTCAAGTCTGTGTGTGTCTTGATTTGTCTGTAAAATACAAAAATAGTAAAAGTTCTAATGAACCACGGAGCAAATTTTAATGAAACTCCCAGAACGTACTTATTGAGTGTATACCTACAACTTAATAACTTACGGCGTTGACAAAATTTAGGATGGCTGCCACAGCTAATCAACCTTAGCCAACACACAGCCTCAGCTAGTTTAATGGCTATTAGGCCAAAATATGGTGTGGTAGTAGCTGAGCATCATCCCCAACTCATACTTCAAGCGCCATACTTTGTGTAGTATTTTTGCTTAAAACTTAGGCAATTTATTTATTGACATTTATTTAACCAGACAAATCCCATTAAGATCACAGATCTCTTTTTCAAGGGAGGCCTGAACTGCCATTTGACAAAAATACAGTTCCTTGCAAGAGTATTCGGCCCCCTTGAACTTTTCAACCTTTTGCCACATTTCAGGCTTCAAACATAAAGATATAAAATTGTAATTTTTGTGAAGAATCAACAACAAGTGGGACACAATCGTGAAGTGGAATGAAATTTATTGGATGTGTCAAACTTTTTTAACAAATAAAAAACTGAAAAGTGGAGCGTGCAATATTATTTGGCCCCCTTGCATTAATACTTTGTAGCGCCGCCTTTTGCTGCAGTTCCAGCTGCAAGTCTCTTGGGGTATGTCTCTATCAGTTTTGCACATGGAGAGACTGAAATTCTTGCCCATTCTTCCTGCAAAACAGCTCGAGCTCAGTGAGGTTGGATGGAGAGCGTTTGTGAACAGCAGTCTTCAGCTCTTTCCACAGATTCTCGATTGGATTCAGGTCTGGACTTTGACTTGGCCATTCCAACACCTGGATACGTTTATTTGTGAACCATTCCATTGTAGATTTGGCTTTATGTTTTGGATCATTGTCTTGTTGTAAGATAAATCTCCGTCCCAGTCTCAGGTCTCTTGCAGACTCAAACAGGTTTTCTTCCAGAATGATCCTGTATTTGGCCCCATCCATCTTCCCATCAATTCTGACCATCTTCCCTGTCCCTGCTGACGAAAAGCAGGCCCAAACCATGATGCTGCCACCACCATGTTTGACAGTGGGGATGGTGTGTTCAGGGTGATGAGCTGTGTTGCTTTTACTCCAAACATATCAGTCATTTGGGACAACATTGGATCATTCATAGATCCTCACTGAACTTCTGGAGTGAGTTTGCTGCACTGAAAGTAAAGGGGCCCAATAATATTGCACGCCCCACTTTTCAGTTTTTTATTTGTTAAATAAGTTTGACACATCCAATAAATTTCATTCCACTTCACGATTGTGTCCCACTTGCTGTTGATTCTTCACAAAAAAATAAAATTTTATATCTTTATGTTTGAAGCCTGAAATGTGGCAAAAGGTTGAAAAGTTCAAGGGGGCCAAATACTTTCGCAAGGCACTGTATATTTGAGTATTAGTCTCGCTTTAGATTACTTAACATCATTATATTTTGGTCAGCAAACTCTTTTCATTTTGTTTTGTCTAAAATATTACATGTGAGTGTTATTTGTTAGGTTCCTCATAACGTTCAACTTAATGTTTAAAATTCACACCATTTCAAGATGGCTGCCACAGATAATTAACCCTAGTTAATACAAAAATGGCTATAGATTGGCCATTTTTACTGATATTACACTAAATTTTGATGTGTTAGTAGCTGGGACATTCTGTAAACGCTAATAAATCACATGAGATTATTTCAAGATGGGTCTAACTCTGGCCTCTCTCATTATTAGATGATCTTAAAACTTAAAACATGAGAGAAGGCTGGCGATATATATTTTTTCAAGGAAATGCAAAGCTTTTAATTTCTATCTGCTTCTTTTTACTGGAGGCTCATGAGTCAGTAAGTGACAGTAAGGTTGACTGATTTGTTTCTGAAGGCTGCGTCAGGACTGGGAGTCAGCCAGTCGGGAGCTGGGGAAGCTGAAAGACCGGCAACTGGAGCAGGCTGTGAAGTACTCCAGGGCCCTGGAGGAGCAAAGCAAGTCCTCTATCCGAGAGAGGGAACTTCTGAGGCAGGTGGGTCCATTAGGAGGATTGTTGGATTGTTGTTTTACGACTGAACGGGCTTAGACAAGTTGCCGTTGCATTTTATGGTGCTGTTCTGGGTGTAATACACTTTGCTTTATGTGAGTGTGTCTCTTTTTTATGTCCTCGAGGCAAAGACAGACGTGTTTTGTTTGATGGCACGAAAAGACAGAAAACGGTGCTTCAAGATTTTACTTTATTTGTCAGGCAGACAAAGTTCAGCCCAAACACCCCTATGATGAATAAAATAATTGGACTTAATGTTCCCTTGCCCTGACGTGGGTCACTGGGGCCCCACTCTGGAGCCAGGCCTGGAGGTGGGGCATGCGGGCAAGCGCCTGGTGGCCGGGCTTTTACCCATGGAGCTCGGCCAGGCACAGCCCGAAGAGGAGACGTGGGTCCCCCTTCCCATGGACTCACCATCTGTGGGAGGGGCCAAAGGGGTCGGGTGCAATGTGGGATGGGGGGTGGCCGAGGGCAGGGACCCTGGCGGTTTGATCCTCGGCTACAGAAGCTGGTTATTTGGAAGTGGAATGTCACCTCACTGGTGGGGAAGGAGCCTGAGCTGGTGTGTGAGGTTGAGAGGTTCCGGCTAGAAATAGTCGGACTCACCTCTACGCATGGCTCTGGCTCTGGAACCAGTTTCCTTGAGAGGGGTTGGACACTCTTCCATTCTGGAGTTGCCCCTGGTGAGAGGCGCCGAGCAGGAGTGGGCATACTTATTGCCCCCCATCTTGGTGCCAGTGTGTTGGGGTTCACCCCGGTGAATGAGAGGGTGGCCTCCCTTCGCCTACGTGTGGGGGGACGGGTTCTGTCGTTTGTGCTTATGCACCAAACGGCAGTTCAGATTATCCGCCCTTTTTGGAGTCCTTAGAGGGGGTACTGGAAAGTGCACCTCTTGGGGACTCCCTTGTTTTGCTGGGGGACTTCAGTGCTCACGTGGGCAATGACAGTGAGACCTTGAGGGGTGTGGTTGGGAGGAACGGCCCCCCTGATCTGAACCCGAGTGGTGTGCTGTTGTTGGACTTCTGTACTCGTCAAGGATTGTCCATAACGAACACCATGTTCAAGCATAAGGGTGTCCATATGTGCTCTTGGCACCAGGACACCCTAGGCCGCAGTTCGATTATCGACTTTGTCATCGTTTCATCTGATCTGCGGCCACATGTCTTGGACACTTGGGTGAAGAGAGGGGCGGAGCTGTCCACTGATCACTACCTGGTGGTGAGTTGGCTCCGATGGTGGGGGAGGATGCCGGTCAGACCTGGCAGACCCAAACGTATTGTGAGGGTTTACTGGGAACATCTGGCAGAGTCTCCTGTGAGACACACAGTTTATAGGTGGAGGTGGTGTGCTGCTGACCTCCACTCAGGATGTCGTGGGTCGGTGGGCAGAGTACTTTGAAGACCTCCTCAATCCCACCGACACGTCTTCCACTGAGGAAGCGGAGCCTGGGGACTCTGTGTCGGGCCCTTCAATTTCTGGTGCTGAGGTCACCGATGTGGTTAAAAAAGCTCCTCGGTGGCAGGGCCCCAGGGGTGGATGAGATTCGCCCAGCGTTCCTTAAGGCTCTGGATGTTGTAGGGTTGTGTTGGTTTACGCGACTCTGCAATATTGTGTGGATATCGGGGGAACTTCCCCTGGATTGGCAGACCGGGGTGGTGGTCCCCCTATTCAAAAAGGGGGACCGTAGAGTGTGTTCCAACTACAGGGAGATCACGCTCTTAAGCCTCCCTGGTAAGGTCTATTCGGGGGTTCTGGAGAGGAGGGTCCATCGGATAGTCGAACCTCTGATTCAGGAGGAGCAATGTGGTTTTCGTCCTGGTCATGGAACACTGGACCAGCTCTACACTCTCAGCAGGGTCCTGGAGGGTGTGTGGGAGTTTGCCCAACCAGTCTACATGTGCTTTGTGGACTTGGAGAAGGCGTTCGACCGCGTCCCTCGGGGAACCCTGTGGGAGGTACTCTGGGAGTATGGGGTACCGGTTCCTTTGATACGGGCTGTTAGGTCCCTGTATGACTGGTGTCAGAGCCTGGTTTGCATTGTCGGCAGTAAGTCGGGCTTGTTCCCGGTGAGAATTGGACTCCACCAAGGTTGCCCTTTGTCACCGATTCTGTTCATAACTTTTATGGACAGAATTTCTAGGTGCAGCCAAGGTGTTGAGGGGATCCGTTTTGGTGGCCTTAGGATTGCGTCTCTGCTTTTTGCAGATGATGTGGTCCTGTTGGCTTCATCAGATTGTGATCTACATTCTTCACTGTAGCGGTTTGCAGCCGAGTGCGACACGGCCGGGATGAGGATCAGTTCCTCCAAATCAGAGGCAATGGTCTTGAGCCGGAAAAGGGTAGAGTGCCCTCTCCTGGTCAGGGAGGAGGTCCTGCCCCAAGTGGAGGAGTTCAAGTATCTTGGGGTCTTGTTCACGAATGAGGGAAAAATGGAGCGTGAGATCGATGGGTGGATGGGTGCAGCATCTGCAGTGAAGCGGGCGCTGTACAGGTCTGTCGTGGTGAAGAGAGAGAGAGCTAAGTCAAAAGGCGAAGCTCTCAATTTACCGATCGATCTACGTTCCTACCCTCATCTATGGTCATGAGCTTTAGGTTGTGACCGAAAGAACGAGATCTCGGATACAAGCGGCCGAAATTAGTTTTCTCCGCAGGGTGTCTGGGCTCTCCCTTAGAGATAGGGTGAGAAGCTAGATCATCCGGGAGGGACTCAGAGTAGAACCGCTGCTTCTCCACATCGAGAGGAGCCAGTTGAGGTGGCTCAGGCATCTGTTTAGGAAGCAATGAAGCAATTTGTTCCAAACGGCTGAAAATATTAAAACTATCATTGTGGACTGATTCTGAGGTGTGCAGTCAGGCAGACGGGTCTTCTTCTGAATCTAAGCTTTGTGCTTGTTTTTTTTTATATGAAAATTTATTCTTGTAATGGGAAAAAAAGTTTTGTTTCATTTAGTTTTCTTTTTGCTTCGTACAGGTGGAGGAGCTGAAGTCCAGGCTGGCAGAGTCGGATAAACAAACAGCCGACCCTCCTGACATTACCAGAACAAACAGTTTGCGCTCAAATGGAATAAATAAATATCCGCCTGCTTTACCAGAGAAGCCGCTGCAGCTTAACAAGGTTCAGAAAACAGAAAAGTCTCCAGTAAAAACTTTGGATCCCTCCACTGGAGTGAATGTGAGTTTTATGCCTTTTTGGTGTTTTTTCACCTAAAACCATCTTAAACAAAATATGATCATTTTTTATACGTCTGTAATCAAACAGACATATTGTGGTATAATCTATGTCTGTACGTATGCATGTATGCATATATGTATGTATGCATGAATGCATGTATGCATGCACGTATGTACGTAAACTTTCTCTTGTCCAGGCCATGACTTCCGGTCCACTCAAGATAATTTAATGAAACTTGAGGTCAAACGTTATACAAGGCTTTTGCTTGTCTGGGCCATTGCTATGGATTATGGTATTTTTGTTGCTTGCACTCGGCGAAAACAGATGCTTTCGTCCTGTGCCCCGTCCCTGCTCTGCTATTTGTCCTGCAAACCTTTCTCAGAGCCTCTTTTTGCATATCTTCCAAATTGTAAATTATGTATTTGGTCAGCAAGATGCAATTTTGATCAATTTATTTTCAACAAGAAGACAGGGCGAAGGAGAGTCCTCTTACTTCGACAGAACACTATTCCTGGGGATGTGTACATGGACTTGTGATAACAGGATTTCTGCTTTTTGGAGTTGGTGGTCACCTGGATTATCGACAAATTCAGAAACGTCAGCAGCTGTTAAACTGCCTGGCATGTAAGGAATGTGCCGTGCTTGGCAACACTCAGACTCAGATGTTGTGTGAACTGATGCAGCTCCTGAATCTCACTGGTGGGAAGAAATAGATCTTGATGAAGTTGTAAAGTTTGACTCAACATATGTAATCACAATTTTAGCTGTTTGGAATCGCCATGAGATGTACTAATGAGACTTTTAAGGCAGAGCTTTGCCTGTCCCAAAACAAATGTTGATATCTGAATCTGGCTCCCACCGCGTTGGCCTTGAAGGCTGATTATTTCAATTCCTCTTGGATGTTCTGGAAACAAGATGCTCTGACCCCCCCTCCCCTACCCCCAAGAACATGGACCTGTTCAGAGCTCAACCGACCCAGCTGATAAACATTGCTCCACCTCTTATCAGGACTATGGCTGTGGGTGGGGTCTCTGGACAGTGATCACAGACTACTTCCCATCAAATTCATGCATTTGCCGGCCTCCCTCATTGCGGTGGGGGGTCTGGGGGTCTTTCGTCACCTTGCGCTCTCTGTTCATACGCACCTTGAATGTCAGGTGCACATGTTCACTTTTGCCACACAGTAATGTAAATGGGTACTTTCACAGTCATCAGATTTTAAAAATAGTTTGCAACAAAAGTCTAACTGCAGTAATAAGATGTTCTTTTTTCACAGAGCAGTGTAGATAGATATTTCTCTGTTTATGTTGTTTAACCGTTAGTGGAGAACTTATGACAGAGTAGATTTTTTCACTTTTGTTTTTTTACAATAACTACTGTTGTCTTAAAAAAAGAAAAGAAAAAGGCAGAAGTTTATTGAGAGAAAATGGTTCTGTGCGCAATGGATGTCTGGAGAGATTATGTGACGGCTAAGTGACATGCATTCAGAAATCGGAACAGACCTGCTGCCACAGGTCCTGAATGATTTTTTTCTTCTGTTATTTCAGACGTGAGAAGGTAAGTTCTTCTCCTCCTCTGGCTAAATTTTCTCCAAAGCAACCTGCCATTGCAGCGCAGCTGCAAACTCCAGCTGCTTTTGGACAAATCTAAGGAGAACCTCAACATCTTTAATTTCTGCAACTTCCAGTTCTTTCTCCTGTCTTTTTGTCAATGCCACTGTCTCTAGACCATACAACATAACTGGTCTCACCACTGTCTTGTAAAGGTTTCCTTTGACCATCCAGATATGCACAGTTATACACCAAGCACTACTGTTTGCTAACACGATAAAAACAGCTGCAAGTCGTGGGATTAATTCAGTTCAAATCAGTTCATTTCAGTTTATTTATATAGCGCCAAGTCAAAACACAAGTCATCTCAGGGCACGACGTCGTACGACTGTAAAATTCTGTGATAAATTCACAATGCAAAATATTATTCCTCGGTATGCGATGAAATATGCAGTATAAAACTTGGAAAAGCGCTAAATCCTAGCTTGCTACTTAACTTCTTCGCATGTTGTCAGCGCCGAAACTCCAGAAGACGCTGATTGGCTGGAATGAAAGTTCACCTGCGATTTCATTGGTTGAATTTTTTTTTTACCTCTTCATAAACTTCCGTTGTCGCTACACAAATCATGCGACACAGGTCTGTTTGGGTTGGGGGGGGGGTTCCTTCCCTCCAGTCTGCACGCATTTCATGTGCTGCATACAGATACAGACAGATTATAGAGACCGCTGCGCTCGGACTGACAGTTGATTATAAAGCAGGAGAGAACTAGATATTTTGCTTGGGCATTTGTGCAGTTGTCCTAACTGCAGCATAGATTTTCTTGTGCGCCGAGAATGTGTGAGCAGTGCACGATTGCACAGGCATGCAGCTTAGAGTCACCTGTGTAAACGTCTGGGACCAGCTGACGGGCGGGGTTGTAAAGTGTGTGTGTGTGGGGGGGGGGGGGGGGGGGGCAATCCCCCCCTCCCCGTTCAAGCGCCACTACTCCACACGCATATGTATGTATGTCGCTTTACCTGCACTGAGGTTGTTTTTTGCTACGTTACACTGTGTCCCATGTCAAGGACACAGTATGAGATAAGATTTTTTATACCTCCCCTTTTCCTCATGTTTTCATTTTCCTTATCTAAAGAAAAAGGTGGCGCTGCTCAGTGCAGCTGATTCCTCAGACACCTCATCCCCCCATGTCTGTTGTTTATGTCTATGTTGTCTTCTCTTGACGGGCTCTTTCTGAAAAGTAATTTTGTTGTGCTTCTGTGCAATGACAATAAAGGCATTCTAATTCTGGTAATGCTGTACTGTGTAATAGTTTGTCGACGGTACTATAATGTGCCGTATGTGGTACTCTTGTTTAACTTCATTACATGTTCTTTAAAATGTGTTTTTGCTGATCTCAGGCTCTCATGGACATCCTGCAGCAGGACCGCAGAGAGGCAGCAGAACAGAGACAGGAGCTCTGCGACTACATCACCAAACTCCAAGAGGAGCTGCAGAGTGCGGAGGAGCACCAAGAACAGGTTGAATTAGAGAGGTTCAAATAACTGTTCATTTCATGACTCTGTTTTAAATGTTAGCGTTAAAGATGCAACGGTGCCTCCTGTGTTTGCAGTTGGAGTCGCAGTGGGAGCAGCTGCAGCTGAAGGCCAGGACTCTCCAGCTGGACTGGGAGACGGAGCAGAAGAGGAGCATGTCCTACTTCAACCAAACCATGGAGCTGGAGAAGGAGAGAGACCAGGTCAGTGTGAACACAGGGTCTAAAGGTCTGAAGGTTCTGGTCTCATGGTTCCCAGACACCCCCACTTGATGTTATCGCCATTTTAGGTGAAGTCTATTGGCACATTATTGTTGACGCTCGGAGAGTTCAGAATTTGTGTTTTTGGGATAACGTTGTCTAATTTCGTTTTTGTTTTGTCCAGAATGTATTTGCTTGTATTTTTTGTATTTTGTTCAAAGTTTTTTGAAAAGATGATTTGTCAAATAATTATGACTAGTTAGTACTTTACCAGCAGTGGCGGCAGAAATATTAGTGAGGCGTAGTACACCGTTTCTTGTATCACTAACTGCACATATTTTACAAATAGTGTTACACTTTCTGTGGAAAAAACAGGCCTATATATTTCTTAATATTTATTTTGTTTGTTTTGTGCCCAAACTTGTTGCCTTTTTTTCTTCCTCCCGCGGGTCGAGGTTATGTTTCATGAAAAACAGTCGGGTCTAATAAATCAGAGAAACGAACACCTCCACCTCTCGCATTCACCCCCACCCAAAACGAGGACAATTTGACCGCTTCAGTTTTTATTTTTCTGTTTGTTTTATTTCGGCTGCTCCCTTTTTCAGGGGCCGCCACAGCGAGCTAAATCGCACAAAGACTTGGCAATTGTTTTTACACCGGATGACCTTCCTGGCACAACCACAGACTACCGAGCTACCACAGCCCTCTGTGTGGAGCAAAGAGCTGCTATCTAGGGTGCCCGGGGGAGCAGATGGTGGGGCCTTGCTCAAGGGTCCAGAGTGGGGCAAATGAGGGTGGAGGCAGGTGTGGGTCACCTTTCCCACCCACATTTTTTTATGTTGTCTGTTCTGGGAATCGAACTGGCAACCTTCCAATCACAAGCCCATCTTCTCTAATCCCTGCACCACCACTCCCCCCTCTTTAGTGCATGACTAAATTATTAACATAAACAGCGACTCTCTGCCACATGAGAGAGATGCAGATTGCAAAATCATTCACGCTTAAAATTGTTTGGATGTGTAAGGTTTTTTTTTTACTTTTTATTTAAAAAAAAGATCAAAGTGAAAGAATGATGCTGGACTATATCATTACCAATTTGTCAAAGAGCTCCAGGCAGACGCTGAGCACACAGCTTCCTGCTGACAAGACCACTGCCTTAACCTTTGACCTGTCACAGCCACACACTCACGTGCACCACAGAACTGGTTACATAAGATCCATCCATGCTGGTGAAAATGTCCCGCTTTCTGTCTCTCCTCTGTTTTCTGTTCTGGTCCTTTCTGTCTGCTCCAAATGGACTCAAACAGAATGTCTCCACAACTCAGGAGGTTTTGCTGCAGCTGTGTTTGAGCTCACGTTCGGTCCATTAGTGGTTCTATAAATACGCTAAAACCAGCTAAATGTGTCTGCAGGGCAGAAAACTGGACGTCCCAAAATAAATTCTATTGAAGCTGATGGTTTGGATCACTGGACATGTTCCGCTTGATGAATGCGGGTCGCTGAACAGTACCGTCCCATAACAATAAATAAGTAAAAAACTGAGAATGAATCACAAAAAATCATTTAAAATTCCATTTAAAATAGTCAGAATAGTTGAAAAAAACATACAAAGAACAAAACAACACAACAAGCTCAGTAAATAAATAATTTACATTACTTATTAGGAGGAACTATTTTGTGGGGCGAATTAATTTTCTGCCTCAATGGACCGACCACCACTGCTTCAGTCTTAACATTAGTCATAGAGTATGGAGGAAAAGGGCAAAAGTCTTCATCTTGGCTTGTCTTATGGCTCCAGTAAAGTTAGTTTCATTTGGTCTTGTACAAAAAGTGTCTGACTTTACCTATTTTAGCATTCTTTAATTTAATTCAGTCCTCTGTATATCAAAACAGTCATCTTATATAGGACATTACAGCTTTCACTCTTTGTGTCCATAATTCTTGTACTGTTTGAAATAGTACTTTTTATTTACATTGTTTTCTCATTGAAATCAAATCTAAAAAAACTTCAATGAGAAATCCTTTGAAATTTCTTAAAATCCCTCAAGAGCGTTGTGCTCTTTGACATCTTCTTCAGCATACTTGCTCAGTTTGTGTCTTTTTATTAGTTCTGCAGATCAGGGAAACAATCTTTGCTTGGTGGTGCAAGCATGAAATATCGCATGCACCTTCTAAATCTATATTTTCTAAAAACCACAGTATCCACATGAACAAACAACTGCTGTCATTTTTCAAGATGGCTGCCTTTGAAAGTCATTTTCTGTGTATTTTGACCTGAATCATTTCAATTTCCCAGTCTGAGAATTTTTTTTAATGGCCATGCAATATTCAATTCTGATGTCAAAAAAAGTCCGTTTAAAAAAAAAATGCCAGCATAAAGTTATTACAACATGTGAGAGACTTGAATGTCTTGTGAGGTTATCGTGTGAAAACAGATATCTTTAAATATTTCATGGATTTTGACTGATTACACAAAGCCGTTAAAAAAGGGGCAGTGTGGTGCAGAGGTTAGAGAAGGTGGGCATGTGAGGAGAAGGTCACTGGTTTAACTCCCAAACATCAAAATATGGGTGGGAAAGGTGCAGCACCTACACCTGCTTCCACCCTCATTTGTCCCACTCTGGGCGCTTGAACAAGGCTCTTAACCCCCACCATCTGCTTCCCTGGGCACCCTATGTCAGCTCTCTGCTCCACACAGAGGGCTGTGGTAGCTCCATGGTCTATGGTTGTGTCAGGAAGAGCATCAGGCTTTATAAAAACAAAAAAACAATTGCCAAGTCTTGGTGCAAGTTAGTTCTTTGTGGTGACTCCTGAAGAAGAGAGCGGCCAAAAGAAGAAGAAAAAACACAAAGCCATTAGAAATTTGACAAAAACACATAACTACAATGTACTTGTCACATTTGCACCAAGCTGTCAGCATGCGAGTGGTATTCAGACCTGCATGATTGACTGAGCACATTCAAATTTATAAAGAAAAGTTGTTTTTTTAGATACAAAGCTGCAGCCACCTTTTAAAAAATGGAAAGATGTTTATGAAATATTGACTTAATCTGCAGCACTATGTGCTTCGTTTTTCTTTAATACATCCTTTTTTATAATTTATATGATCCGTTTTTTCTGTCCTCTTTTTTTTTTTTGTCGACTTATGTGTCTAATCTGTCTTTTTTAACTTCCTGTGTGTTCATTTTCCATCCTTTATCTTTTTATGCTTCCTTTTTGTATTTTTATAACCTTTTCATCTTTTCACATGTGTTTTTATATGTCTCGTACGTTTTCTTTTTTCTCTTTTTGTCTATTTTTGCTGTTTCTATTCGTGCTTTGAAAGTTCAGTTATTCATGCACATTTTCTAGTTCGGCCTACATCAGTGTGCAGTTTTGTGTTTCTGCTATCTTTTCATCAGGCTTTGCGCAGCCGAGACAACCTGCAGCTGGAGTACACCGACTGTCTGCAGGATAAGAACCGTCTGCGTAAACGCATCGCGGAGCTGCAGGCCAGCCTGGAGCAGCAGCAGAGGGAGCTGGAGCGAGAGTGTGAGAAAAGCCGGGAGCAGCTGCAGCAGAGTGCATGTCTGCACTGTGTGAGTTTAAACGGGCCTTACTGGAATACAACACCGCCCCCTCACCACCAGCAGACTTAACACTTCCCTGTGCACGTTCCACAGTCCCACCTGTCCCTCTGCAGCGAGGACCAGTGCTACGGCCCCTGCTGCTCCCCTGACCTGGATCTGAGCCCCCAGTCCAACAGCACCTATCTGATGCTTAGAAAGGTCAGTGCTGCTTTTCACTTTGGCCACTGGTGCAACAAACTCACTACAGTACATTAAATTCACTCTAGACTCACTACTGTCACTGTATACAGTCTACAGTGTACTGTGTACTAGTATAGCATTTTTACCTGTCCTTGCTGTCCTGTTCAACAGAAACTTGTTCTGTCATGCTGTTTTCGTGCCTTAAAATAACTGAACTGCTGAGCTCATCAGAAAATTAAGGTCTTGGTTTTACGAGGAATATCTTATGCAACTCTGAGCCTGTTTCTACCTGTCCAAGCTCTCTCACGAGCTGAGGTCACGTGCTGAACTTCTGTTTTCTGTGTCGCAGACGCCACCTAGAGGTCAAACCAATGAAAACTCTGGAGGTAAGTTTTAAGTAAAAAAAAATCTAAATAAATCAGCATTTGCACTTTAGTTTCCATGAAGCGGTTGTTAACTGGGGGACTGAGGCTGAATGTTTTGATTCACAGGTTCCTGTTCCACCTCAGAGGAGAACCTCTTGTCGTCAGTGAGTTTTATTTATTTTTTTATTCTAATGAATTGTGTCTCAGAATCAGGGTCTCAGTATTTACCAATGTCCCTTCAGACAAAGGAGGATGAAAAGGAAATAAATCGCCTTTCCACATTTGCCTTTCCTCCATGTGCAAACTCCATCCACCGACGGTGTAACACAGAGTAAGTTTAATAATCACAAAATGTATTTATGTATTTATTTTTGACTGAAATGCATATTTGTTTGACTTGATTTATATCCTTTTTGTTATTTGCAAAGGTTTGACATGATCTCTTGGGTCAGTGATGAGAATGATAACATTTTAGGTATGTTTTTGTCAATAAATGCATTTGATTCTGATATTAAAATAATTTTAGGGAGCACAGTTTAAAGGCTGCCTTGTGTTTTCAGATGATCAGAGTGAACCTTCTCTGTGTGACTCTTGGACCTCCTTACACTCGCACCTCTTCCCTCCTGACCTGGTCAACATGCCCTCAGTTTCTAACAACCAACCCAATCCCATTGTTCCCAGGTACTACCTTGGAAAAAAGCCCTCCTGAAAGCTTTAATACACAATCAAAATGCATTTATTAGAGTTCAAGTTCAAGAATCTTTATTATCCCCAAGGGGCAATTTGTTTCACAGTATAGGTACACAAAACATCCATACTAGACAAGACACTGAGGCATTAAAATAACAGTACAGAAATCATCAATGTTTGTTGAGAAGCCTGATCTCTACAAGCATGAATGATTTTTTCAGTCTGTTTGTTCTACATCTGGGCAGCAGATACCTGCGTCCAGATGGAAGCATCTGAACTCATCATGGAGAGGATGATCAGGATCTGCCAGAATCTACCTGGCCTTGTTCACTGATTTCGCCTCGTGTAGGTCAGTGAAGTTCTGTAGGGCTATGCCAGCAGTTTTGCTGCACATCCTGACAATCCCGAGAGTTTGTTCCTGTTTTTGCATGTCAAAAGTCCAAACCAACAGATGAAGGTGAAAGTTAAAAGACTCAATAAAACATGAATAAAACGTTCTCATAAAAGTAAAATCAACATTAAAACTGCAGAGCTTCAGATAAAAATACATTCTCTGGTGGACCTTTTTATAAAGTGGGATCAAAGGTCAGTTTGTCATCAAGAACAGTTCCCAGATATTTTCAGTGTATTGATGCACCACCTCAACAGCTTCACCGTTAATTATGGAGGATGGATGGTGACAAACTTAATTAAATAAATACATAATAATGAAATGTATCATTGGTGACAAAATTAAATAAATAAATAAATCATGAAATAAATAATTTAAAAGGTACATTTCATTACGTAATGGTGTATTTACTAATTTAATTGTGTATTTAATGATTTAATGATGTATTTAATAATTAAATGATACATTTAATTGTTATGTTTATATTATGTATTTATTTATTTAATTTTGTCACATTCCATCCTCCAACGGAATGGTGACAAAATTAAATAAATAAATAAATCATGAAATAAGTAATTTAATTGTGTATTTAATTATTTAGTTGTGTATTTAATGATTTAATGATTTATTTAATATTTAAATGATACATTTCATTATTATGTATTCATTTATTTCATGTTGTCACATTCCATCCTCCATAGTTAATAACCACAGGAGCTGCAACTGAAGAGACTTTTCTAAAATCAGTGGTCGCTTCCTTTGTCTTAGAAACATTTAACTTTAAAAAAGAAGACTCACACCATTCAATGAAGACCCTGACCACAGGCCCGGGGTCTGGGTCATCACAGCTGAGACGGGACAGGATGACAGAGTCATCAACAAACTTTAAAATGTGGCGCCATGGGAACTAGCTGCAACAATCATTTGTATATAAAATAAATAAATGAGAGATATGATTAAAAGAAAGTAAATGACCAATGTGCCATTAAATGTGTTTTTAATTTTTATAATGTATTTAAAAATTGCCCCCTCATATACAGCATAATGTAAATTTACTGAAAGGTAATTGTTGTTCGATTTGAGGAGCATCTTAGTTTGGTTTTTTTTTTTTTTTTTTGGTGAGGTTCTGTGGAGTTCTTGTCAGCAGTCAGTGTCTTACCTGCAGTGAAATTCCTCAGTTTCCTAAGGCAGGCAATTTTGGGGAGGAGCCGAGCTAACGGCTAGTCTGGGCAAGGCATGAAGTGAGTTTCTGCTTTCCTAAAACATCTCCAATCTAAAAGGAACAAAATCCATAGCTGTTTATCTGAATCCTAATTTATTAACTTTTACATTGCTGCCAATTGTTGATAATCCAGTTATTAACATATATTTTTATGGGGATGTTTATCCCCACAACTGTGTTGGTCTGTGTTCTGATACCAGTACAGGTCAATATGAATATATGGTAGAAAACAGAATGTGTTAATTTCAGAAAGGCCAGCAAAACTATTTGTTACAACATTCTGAGTCAAAACTAGATTTTTACACAGCTTTAATGTTTCATAGACGATCTGTGTTGTCGAGGTATCAGTGTCTCAGGTTACATATTACAGATGAAGCTGGAGTGTTGTATTTATCAGGGTTATGGTTATTCAAGGCCACAGTGCCCCAGAGAACCCAGCTCAGAGTCCACCAGTATCATAAAAACATGTTTGTGAAGACTCTGTCTTGTGTTACTTGTGTCCAGACTGCCTTTGCAGGTAACTAAGTTTTTACCTTTCATTATTGCTCCTGTCTCAAAGACAAAACCAGATCGCAACTGTCCAAACCATGTGAAACCCTAAATGAATGTTCAAAAAAAAAAAAAAAAATCTTTGAGTCTATTGTATAAACATGAAGTCCGATATTAACCTCAATTTCATTTTGCAGCATAAGTTTCACGTGAACCATTATTGGTAATGGACTGCAGACCAGCACAGTTTTCAGGTTAAAACCCATAAAATTAACTGTAAATAACTGTATCGTCAAGAATTCAAAATAAAGGTTTTTTAAAAATAGTGTTTACATGAACCGCTATGAAAAGTTAGATATCTGAGTTGTTTAATAACATCAGAGTTTAACTTTGGTCTTGGAGCCCCTGAGATGATCCGTTAGCTCGTCTCCCCTGAGAGAACTTCTACTTGGTAAAAACGTTCTGTGTGATTTCTACTGCAGGTAAGACACTGACTGATGTTACTAACTTCTCAAAGCCTCCCATTAGACTTGACATAGTCCCTTGTCTTTTTTTTTTGTCCTGTGTGTCTCTTAGGAAGCAGCCCTCCCCCTGCTCCCCATCTTCAAGCCCCCCCAACTCACCAAAACACAGAAGAGCCAGTTTAGCTGATGATATCACCATCGTGGGAGGAAACCGAGTGGGGATCTTTGTCAGCCATGTGAAAGCTGACTCTCCAGCTGAGCGGTGTGGACTAAAGGAGGGCAGTGAGCTGCTGGAGGTGTGTGTCTTTCTGGTGGACGAATCACAAATGAAGACCGTGTTTGAATAATCAGCTAATTAACAATAATATGCTTCTTAAAAGTGTTGGGCTCCTTTGCTCGTACAGTTTTTTATTGCATTTCTGTAATTTTTCACTCGAATAACAGCTGTTGTTGTAATGTGAGGCTGTAAGGTCACGTCCAGGTTTGTCTCTGTGTTGTTTAGTTGGAGCGGGTTCTGTTCGGTGGAGGAAGTGTGATGTTGAATCAGTGCACGGCTGAGGTGGCCCACTTTTCTCTGCAGTGGTGGACTGAGCTTTCAGCACTGAAACACCAGAGCAACCTGGACGGTGAGTCTCAAAAACCTAAAACCATGAGAGCAAAATATACCCTATAATAAATCCCCTCTCTGTAAGGGTCAAAGGTCATCCACACTTGGACATATTTCCTCATGTTATTCAGAAAATTGTATTTCTCACAAAGATCAAGACTAAAAACTTTCTCCATTCTTGGCTTCACCTTTCAGCGTATTCGAAGCTGTGCTCGGAGCTTTCGTCGCCTTCGTTTTCAGGTGCCGACTCCTTCTATGTGCGGGTCAATCTCAAAATGGAGCCTCGTGGTGACCCCCCGTCCATGGGCGTTTCCTGTGACGACATCATACATGTCACAGACACAAAGTACAACGGGAACTATCACTGGCGCTGTTCCCTGGTGGACCCGGTCACAGCCAAGCCTCTGCAGATAGGAACCATGCCCAACTACAACAGGTGCGTCAGTTAACCCCCTCGATTAAAGACATCAATACAATAGTTAAGTAAAAAAATAAAGTCCAGTGGTTTTTATCTTGAACTTTTTTGAATTTACTATCATTACGGTCACATGAATGTTACTTTCATTTGGGACTTTTAATGATTTATTTGGAACAGTTTTTGTCCAGGGTATAATGATTATCTAAATATGTTTTTGTCCCCCATCATGGAGTGAAGAGGGGAATTGGAAATACCCTCTGTCTGTCTGTCTGTCTGTCTGTCTGTCTGTCTGTCTGTCTGTCT